TAAAGAATTAATACAAAAATTCTAAAATCTAGAGGGACTAATGTCAAAATTAAGTAAACATAAGGTTCTAAATTAAAAAAAAAAAAAATTAAAAGTTGTTAACACTAAAATGACACGTCAGCCTCTCAAAACTTCACTTGGTAGAAACCTTAAAATATTATATAAGTTTTTTTTTAAAAAGATAATACTTCTAAATAAAAACATTTTAAAGAATTTGAAATGAGATATTAAAAAACTATCTATTAGAATATGGTTTTATAAATTTTTAATTAATTTATGAAGATAATTCGATGTTAATTGTTCACTTTAAATTAATATATTGATATCATATTTTTATTTTAAAGAATCAATACAAAAATTCTAAAATCTAGAGGGACTAATGTCAAAATTAAGATAACATAAGGTTCTAAATTAAAACATGAAAAGTTGTTAATACAAAAATAACACGTGGCAGTCTCTCAAATGATTTTATCACTTGGTAGAAACCTTAAGATATTATATAAAATTATCTTGTTTATAAATAGTGTTTTAATCAGTGAGATGATTAGTTTGATGAATTGAATGAAATTATTTTGGAAGATTTGAGTTTGCTGATTACAACATAGAATTTAAAGTAAAATTATTTTGACAGAATCATATTATTTTTAGTTATTCATATTGAGTTATATAAAAATGTATTGAATTTGTGTATTTCTTAACATTTTTAAACATAGTATGATACTTAATTATATATATATTTGTGCGTATATGTATATACGCTTTCAACACGTACTTGCTTCTTTTTCTCTAAGTCGTTTATTCGTTTTTATACGCTTCCACTTTCAAGTACCCGATTTCGATTCCATGCAACCTAGATTATTAGAAAATATATTCTCGACAAACTAGATTTAATTATTCCTTATTGATTCTGATTGGGTCATTGTCAACCTTTTCTTTTCGACAAAAATTAATTTAATTGTTCCTACTGAAGCTTCTTTCGTTACTTTCTATCGATGCTATCTTAGTAGTTTGAATGCAAAGTTAATTGATATCGCCATATTGGTGACCAGGAAGAAAATAGGCCCTGTACTGGAGAGCTGAGTATTATTGTCATTTCTTATTGCGTCTCGATTCGATCCTTATTGATTCTGATTGGGTCATGTTTGTCAACCCAGCTACGCAGATATCGAAATAATTTGCTTAAGAATGTCGAAATAATTTGAGATCAGAGTACACTAAAAAAGAAGAAAACATTTATCTTGCATGCCTGTTTTTTGCCTTTTCAGTGAGCACAAGTTTTCTAATAACTTTGTTTTAAATTCAGCACTTGTTTACTACGTAGAAGTTCTACTTTCCCCCTTTTTTTTGTTTTACCAATTTACTAATGTTTGCTTTAGTTTCCTCATGTAAATGTGTCTGTACGCATGGACTATGTACTTGGCTTGATTGTGTGTATAGGGATCCGCTGAACAAGAAGCTAAAACTTAAGAATCATACGATTTTATTATCAAGAAAATAAGGTAATGTGTGAGGCGACTGTAGTGAGAATCATGCTCCAGTAGTGGTAACATACTTGATGAGCATCTTGACAATCTCCTTGGAGACCTTTGAACCAGAATCCTTAAGGTTCTGAATCCTGACTTCTGTCTCCTCGTCTAGTCGTTTTGCAGCTGCTTCTTGATCCGCCTGAAACAAAAGTTAAAGAATGAGTACAAGTCAAGATTCTCAATACCTGGTTGTATTTTGGTGCTGATTACCCCAGAAACTTGTGTCTGGTACTCTTCTTCTAGACGGGATCGGTACTCTTCCATCTCTTTCTCAGCCTCGTCTTTCGCTTGCTTCATTCTTGCTAGTTTTGCTGATCATCGATTCATCCATCAAGAAAATGAGAAAGGAAAAGCCGGAAAGGTTTCAAAAACAAGTTCTTACTAATGGAGCCAAGAAACTGTTAAAGAGAAAGACTATACCGGTCCTAGCAGCCGAAACGATCCGACCAGCTTCTTGTTCAGCAGTTAAAAGCATTTGAATCCCACCTTGGCCTCTTAAAGAATCCATGGCTTGTATTCTCCTCAAAGACAATGAAGACTTGCGTTGTTATTCTTTTGCAGATTTTGATGCCAGTTTGTAGATATAAAGCCTCTTTGGTTATGGTTTTTAGATGGGGAGTGTTTTTCTCCTTGGTTCTTGGAAAGTTTTTGACTCATTATTTTGAAATTAGAAGGATTTTATTAACCACTGCGTGATCTACGGATCGGTGTGAAAAAAATTGAATACTTGTGAAATAAAAGGAACCACAACATGAGAGACCCTAAGATTATTACATTCATAAAAGACATTTATCTCTAGGTTTGTGAATGATATATTTTTGTCCTGACAGGCTGTCTATAGGAGTGAACAAAATATCCGAGATCTGAATATTGATCTGCTTTGAAAAATATAA